AAAAAATCTAGCGTTTTTTCTAAAGCAGATTTCCATAAATTTCTTACGGAAGCACCCGATGACACGTACTTGGTGAGTCATTAACTAACAAGATTGAAACCGCTCAGAAGATTTTATGTGGAACTCCAGGGAACCCTTCATCATCTTCGTTGCCATCAACAGAACCTGCTATTTCATACCGTACTAATTCAAATCCTCTATCGACTGCTGAGTGTGAAGAATCTGTAAACACCGTGTTTTCCAATTGCCTGCCTAATTCCCGAACTAATTTTTGTAACTTGCAAATTGTACATTTAACTTCCACATTAATAAACAATAATTTGATTTTTGACACATATCCTACTTGTCGCATGTTACTGTAACTGTCACTTGGTTGCTAAGCACGTTGCTATGATACACTTACCGCCCTAGGTTGGTAAGTGCACCTTACCGCCTTGAAAATGAATTAGTAAGTAGCCGACAATAACCGATCGTGCAAAAAATAATTTTGTTAGTATGCTCCACAGATTAGGTGTAACTGCGTTAATGGCTTGTTGCCACATATCTCCCTTTTCTTGCAAATTCCCCATATATTTTCGATGGGATTGGAAACGCAATGGTAGGGATGTAACCTTAGTACCGCATGTCCATTTTCTAATGCCCTTAATTCTCCGTTAAACCTTTTCTTGGAACTTTTCTTAAGGCACTTTTGCACTTATTAAATACGTCTTTCTCTTTTAGAACTTGCAAAAGAGACTGAAGCGTAAGATGCTCTAAAATACGAACGTGAACACAAATATTTATCTAATATAATGTAATCTTTTCACAGTTAACATAAACGCCTATCTACATTCAACCATTCAACGTGTGTTTTAACTTACTGTGATTCTGTGAAACTATCAACATCGCTAACGGGTTTCTTACATTGCCTTTAGGATTTTCTAGAGGTTTGCCCGATTTAGAAATTTATGTTCGTAGGCTAATATATTTTAATGCATCCACATCTGAAATGAAACTTGTTACGTATATGAATTATTATATTACTAAAGTATCCACTCACCTCTCTTACTGCTGCGACTGGTAAAAGTGGCCCACCATTACCTCTTTCTCGTTCAAAATAACGAATAAGATTAGAAATAAGTTACTTTTTCTTGGTGAACCCGATGGCATTTTTTGGTTATACAACTTTTGGCGCAGAATATCGCAATGAGACTTGAGGAAGTTATGTTTCTATAATAATTGTTCGTTATAAAACTAACGGATTCGTGCTTCGAAATTTTTTTGCACGTGCAGTGCTAATTTTAATTACTTAGTCGATTGCGTGACGCTATTAATAGGCAAGATGAGAAAAACTTCGCAATTTTCATATGTAGATTTAATTTAGGCAAATATTTGATCATCGCACCGAATAATAAAAACTTTCTACCAATCTTAAGCAAACGTTTACTAAGTGTGGCCAAACCGTAAAGAACTAACGATCTCACACCTTCACCATTCGTGGTATTGAATATCAGTCGCATCTAAAGTGCTAGACTTACCATGGAATTGACAGCATTTTCGAAGGGTTAATCACGTATGAAACAATTTTCCATAAATTGAATTTTGATGAATTTTTAATGCCAGGATAACCACAATGGCGTACGATAGTGACAGAATGACCGATCACAGGTGGATGCGCGAAAACAAGCCAGTGTTGCTGCTGCTATTCGAAGCTCTGCATCAACTGCCAAATGAATCAAGTGAAGTGATCATGTTTCTTACAAATTTTTCTTAATTTTTCCCTATACACTCATATGGATCTCATTGTAATTTGTGGGTTTTAACTAAGTGTCGACACACGTTCAGTTCGCAGGACAATTTTGGCCGGAAGGCAACGATGTGAATTTTGAAAATCGCATTGTAAGTATTTTTCGGCCGGAGTAATTTTGAGCAACGGGCTATCGACGAACTGAACGTGAGTGTCGAGCTTAAAAAAAGCACAACCGTCATGTACAGTGTGTCCTATTTTGGTTGAGACCGCAGTGTATCTCGGGTGATAGATAGAAACTTGCGGTTTTCGCGACCCAGCACCACTGTTTGTGAAATTCAAAATACCTATAGAGCAAATATGCCGAAAATCATAAACTCAGATGCGAAAATGTAAATTTTAAAAGCCTACAGGCATTATAAAACAGACAGGCCAGACCTAAGGAAAGTGGAAACCTTAGTCCGGCTTAGTGACATTTGGGATGTGAGTATTTATGCATTGAACATTAACTTTCGGTCTAATTTTGGGGTTTGTACTATTCTAGGTATCAGAAAAAACCATTGAAAGAATTATCCGGCTGAATACTTTTGGCCCACGACCTCAAACTGATATTATATATAAAAATTTTTCATTTCGGGAAGATTTGCGACTGATTTGGAATCACTCGAAAAATGAACACTTTACTTTGGCTGATTTGCTAAGGGACGCGCGGGGAAATTTTGATTTTGATAAGGGGAAAACTACTTTATATAACATTCTAAAATCCATGGGTTATAAATACAAACACGTAAATGGACGTAAAATCCTCTGTTAACAAAAACATGTTGCATCCAAAATTACATTTTTGAGGAAATTCTTGCAATACCAAGATTCAAGGGAAAATATAACATTCGTGAATCTGGACGAAACTTGGATTTTTCAAAATGGATCCAGCGTCCGAAAATGGGTACACGATTCTGAAATTAAAAGTAATCCGTCTGAAATTAAATCAGAAGGGAAGCGTTTTACTGTTTTGCATGCGGGGTCTCGTTTTGGATTTTTGGAAGGGTATTACAAACTTCAAATAGTAACGATAGGGATTATCACTAAACTATGAACGGGGAGATTGTTCAAAATTGGGTGGTTAATCAATTACTTCCTGCTCTGAACAAAATTCAAGGTAAATGTGTGGTGATCTTGGACAATGGACCGTATCATTCGGTGCAGTTGGAAAAATTACCTTCACGTAATTGGAAAAAGGATCAGATGCAGGATTGGTTGATTAAACACAATGTCAAAATTGAGGGCAAAATTACCAAACATTATCTTTGGAGTTTAATTGAACCTTTTAGGAAAGACAATAACAAACGTTACGTGACTGACGAATTTTTGAAAGAGAATGGGCACGAAGTTCTTAGATTCCTCCGTATCATTGCCAGTACAATCCTATTGAAATGGCATGGGAGTTCTGTAAAACTTACTCCAACAAGCGTATACATTCTCAGCTTTCATCCAAGGATAAGGTTAAAAATTTATGGCTTGAAGCTCTTTCAAATTGTACTTCTGGTATGTGGCAAAATTTTTGTAATCATTGTGAAAAACTAATTTCGGAAGACTGGGTGAAATATATGGGAAATATTTCGTTTGAAAACATTCCACCTTTCATCATTTCATTGGAGGAATCTGAGTCAGAATCAGGTATTGGTAATGATTCAGATACTTCCAATGAAACAATGGTCGTGGAATAGAGGGTTTTTGGCATCAACATTTTTGTTTATGACATGGAAAACGAATGGGAACACCAAACTCTTCCAAGTTCCAGAATTTAAGGAAAGATTCAAGGATTTCATCCAGAAAGAACTAGAGGTCACCACATAACAAGCTGGGACATGGAAAGGAATCACAATCCTCACCACGTACTCAGCTGGGGAAACAACAGTTAACATCCAGAAGAAGAAATTCGAGAGCAAAACACCATCAGGCAGCTGCTCTAAGACTAAAAGGTTCCCCAAAGAATAGTAAGCTACCCGCCGGAAATAAGATTAACAGAAATGTACTAATCATCAAACAGCACAGACGGAAAACAAAAGACCCAAGGAAGAACATTCCAATGGCACCGTGGAAGCAAGAACTACACTCAAGCGCAGTTAGGTATCAATGCGGTCGTTGAGAGCATCTCGGGTATGATGGTACTGACGTATCGAGCAGTGGTTATCTTCTAAGAATCTACCACACATCTCCCAAAGCTGATCCAGCCCCAGACTAAAGCTGCTCGAAGTTTAGACTAGCATATCGGCATTTAAATGTGGAAGTGTTTAGTTCATAAGGACCACCACCAGCAACCTGCTATTACTAAGCGTATAACTGTAAATAAGTTCATATATAACATCCTTTTGAAATTAATGATGTTCATTAGAGCCATTTGCCTACTCAATAAAGTATGAAACGTATTGAGCAAGTTGTTTCTCATGAAATTTATACATTTATTTGTACGTATTAACCTATAACAAAATTACCACGAAATCCAAAACTAAATCTGGCAACTATGTTTTGCACATTGACAGGAAATTATCATTTTGTATAAAATGGACATAACCTAATGAGTGACAGCACATATACACAGTGAATTTCATCACCATAACATGGCTTACTATTGGGACAATAACTATTGAACGGAGTATACGTTTGTTTCTGAGATACCTACAGGGTGAAAGCGAAAAGTTGAACTTTTTTTATATTCCTTTAACAACTTACATCTAAACAACATAGAATTGAACAAGCTGCGATATGACACAAAGCCAGTCTGACGAATGCACCATGCCCCCCCCAATGTCTTCCCGTATTTCCTCAGATCGGCCTGGTTCTTCAGGAGAGTTTCCTGATTCTTTTGAATTTCCTCCTTTCAACACGGGAAATGATCTCATTTTCTCATGTATCTCACTTATTGGATAAGTATAATCTCTATTGTCCTCATTTAATTTAGTGCACAGTGCAAAATGCCTCGACTGTCTTGTGTATAATTTATCGGTTGTTAGCCGAAGAATGCCATTCAATAGAATATTGCATGTGTATGTATATCAACTAGTAAACCTAGAGGAACATTGAATGGAATCGTTAGTTCAGAAAGGGCCTGCGAAAATATGATTTAATTATCATGACTGGCTGACGAACCAAATTTGATAGCATCGAATTTTATTTTTCTCCCATTACAATTTACATCCATTTGCTCATCCCGCTATATTTATTAATTATTACCTTCAACTTTTGATTTTATTTTTAATTTTTCTTTTACCAGAATTACCCCCATTATCGAGCGAGAACGAAATGGAAATTGCAAACGGATACCTTAATACGGGTTTATCGTCCCATGGGCACAAGCCTAGTAAAAAACAGGCAAAATTAATGCAACAGCGCCTGGAACGGTTAGCGAGGATCAACATTCACTTGCAGGGTAAGAAAATTTAACGGGGATAGGGCGCTTTTACATGACAATGACGCGCAATTTTTGCTGCTGTGTGACGGCAAGTCACATGCAGGTGTCTGGTAATTGAGATTTAAAGACGGCTGAACGCGAGCTCTAGTTGCATGTGCAAAGCTAGAAGATTTTATGCAAAGTAGGTTGTGCAGGCTTTTCGGTAGGACGGGGAACTGAAGCTTAAATAATCCTTAACTAATTTGCTAATGTTTTGTTTCAGCTTTGTTTGCCGCTATTGAACATGGACATTTGGAGAAAGCCAGGACGATATTGGAATCTACAGATGTTGACGTAAATAGGTAAGTGAAGAGAAGAGGTTGACCGTGATCTGGAAATACTATAGTAATTATTGTCAAAGGTATTTATGGAAGATGTCATACCTTGAGCATTTTTAAATAAATATTCCTTATACCATTTGCTAATCTAAACGAAAGAACATCCAATTTTATATTTTCTACATTGGGCACGAAACACAGAAAAACTGCCTTCGATATTCTTGTATTGAGAATTGTTCCCATAATCCTCTTAAAAAACGCATTCAATTATTTAAAGTCGAATTTTCTCTCAAATTGTGGAAATGCACATTGATCGAAACGGAAAGTAGAGAATTCCTTTTAAAGCGCGATAAATTCTTTTATCCCGTCGAATGTCGATCTCCTCTTATAATAAATTATGTAAAGCATGAGGAAACCGATACCATAAAACGGATAAATGGTTTTTGTTCTAAAATAAATGCTACTTCAATTTACAGTGTGAATAACGATGGATTATCGCCTCTAGACATTGCCGTTCTCAGCAATAACCGTCCCTTAGTGAAAATGTTAATTAGTTTCGGAGCGCGAGAGGGTAGTCAATGTAAGTTTGTCGCCGACCCATTGCTCCCCATAAGTGTGCGGCATTTTTGCAGTTTCAAGCCCCGACAAGTTAGGTTCGCATCTGAAACATCTTCTGGGAGAAGCGGAGATGCGTCTTCAAGAATTAGGTGGACTATTAGAGGAACCTTGTGGGGCACCGTTTAATACTAGGGCGTCGTTTTCGAGCATTATCGGGAATACGTACCAGTCTTCGACCATGACAGGTTGGTTTCCCTACTTAAACCATCAGATATCCCAATTGTGATTGTAGGTTGTGCTGGTGGCGACACAGAGAAACAGGCAATCGCTTGGAGCAGAAGAGTGAAGGTCCTCCGACGAATGGTGCTAGGTTTCGCACAAGCACGACCTCCCGATCCCCCATCTCTTGTCGCCGTCGATATAACATCTTCCACATCCATCACGTTACGTTTACAAGATCCAATCTCGAATGACTCCGCTATTAATACCAAATATTTAGGTAATCGCCTAAGCACTCTAAACTTAATCTAGCAAAGTTCAATTACAGTTCAGTGGTCCGCCAGGCCTGATTTTTCTCCACTAACTGGCGAAATTGATATTTTGGACATGTCCAAGCCCACCTGCACAATAGAGCTCTCCCAAGGGAGACGATATTTTTTTAGGGCAGCTTGCGGAAATTTAAAGGGCTTCGGCAACTTTGTACCTTCTACCCCCGCGTCGGTGGTGCCATCGACGTGGAGAGAAGTTGACCACCGCGATTCAAGGTACGACGGTAAACTCCTCAATCTGGACCACTTAATCGAAGAGGTAAAGCAAATACGACCAGGCACCGAGATATTAGAAACGCCGGGACCACAGCGCAGAACGCAAAGAAAAAAGACGACAATTAAGCAACTATTTTCGGCGGCAAGTAAATTTCAAAAGCATTTAAAAAGGTAATGTGCAAACATGATGAAATGATGATATTAATTGGAGGTTTCAGGGGAATATATTTAGCCTGCATTTTGTACCATGAAGACAAAGTCTTGGTGACCAATGAAGATTTTTTACCTGTGATAGAAATTGATGAATCCTTTCCAAGTTGCATCCATACCGATCTTCATTGGTTCATGAAGGTTGCGTGTACGTGGAACGACACCAAGTTTCTGCGTTGCGATATGGAAAAGACAACCTCGTCCGCAATCCACTTCCGTACCAAACTTTTAGCCGCCGCTTTACAAATGCAATCCGCGTTATGCTTGCAGGACTTAGGGCAACTATTTTACAAACCTTTACGTGATGTGAACGGAACGGTGGTGCTCAGTACAATTAATTACATAAAGTCGCCGAAAAGTGTATCCGTTTTAAATTCGCGATGGTTACCAATGAACAAAGTGTTTAAAAAAGTTGTGCTCAGCGACGACCACAGCATCTCGGAGATTTTGATGGGGTCCATACAAGAACAAATTAACTATCATCAAGTTTCCGGACTCAAACTTGGCAAAGGACTTTACTTGGCTTATCTCAAAATGCAAAGTTCTGTTGATTTGATACAAGTTGTAGTTCCGGCAAAGTCGCCCAACATGTTACCTCACTGCAAAATTCGGGACAATCCACACGTTTCTGAGTAATTATATTAGATTTTATATTTTTCTGATGTCATACTGCATCATCTAGAAGATAAGGGAAAATCCAAAGATAGCAGTGAAAAACCTTATTGGGTCAAAAGTTAATATATGAAGAGATATAATTTCATTATTATTATGATGTTGACATTACTGGCACAGTCTTTCTGTCCTAGTCATTTACAAACAGTGTGGAACTTTTGTTTGCAACACTGAATATACCTTCAAAAGTTTGCAAGAACAGTTTTTAATAATATTCACAATTATAGTATACCTATTATACATACTGCTGTGTGCCCCACGTTGGGCGCCAAAATTATTTGCTGTGTACCATGGCGAACGGTCACTAAGCCGCCCACCTGTCCACCCAGCTCAAACAACTCACCAAAAAAAATCAACATGAAGCTCTTAAAATCCAAGATCGCAACCTGTGCTCAAACTGATACAGAACCCTTACCTCAAACACAAAATTTATTCGACAATTGCTGTAATAAAAAGTGGCAACAGTGCCATCGACAAACACGACCACACCACAAGCTCTCGATCAAAACAGACAAAATAACATCCCAATCACCTTGTACAGTCAATAATCTAAACATCTAGTCTCACACCTCGACTTCCACCAAACAGACGCGTACAAAAAAAAACACAAACAGCAAATTGAACTCGTCTCAGAAACTCTCCCAAACTTTTCTCCGAACACGGGACAGGAAACCTCTTCCCAACCCGAATTCGAACACTCAATTCATGACGTACTTAAACTCTCCCACTTCACCAGCCAAAGGTCTTCGACAAACCCACAACTCCACAAACTGACAGTCCCTAAGAAATCTGAAAACTGAAAAGCCGGAAGCACGGTTCCAACAAACGGGCCCGACTTCACCCAACGGCCAAAATACGGCACCCAAGTCTCTTTAATACATTTCTCATCTTTCTCATTCTTTAGTTAAAACAAACAACATTCTCTTATCTAAATGCGCACCTGCGACAATATCTATTAAGAAAGTTAATTAACTTTTAGCGACTCACAAACTTCTATAAGCACTTCCAAATGTCCCTTATCTTTCCTTAACGTAATTTTCCAAAAAAGGAGCTAAGTTGCTCCTTTCTTGGGAATTACGTTAAGGAAAGGAGCAACTTAGCATGCGGATATTTAAACAAAAATTAGACATCGTTAAACTACGTAAATTAACACAGCAGTACATACCTTAAATTTGCGGTCAGTGGCGTACTTCTGCATGGTCTAAGGGGGCATATTTTTTTATTAGTTTTCATTGCATATTATTAAAGAATGTATTTTTTTTATACAGCACCAGAAAAGGTGTTCAATATGTCCCCAATGAAAAATGGTGGTTGCTATTCCGAAATATATACGCCCCCCCTTGACTCTGTAGACGTACGCGATTGGCACAGTTTTAAACTATGATAGTAAACTTTCCATAATTTTGGGTACCATAAGAAGCAGTGTATGTAGAACCGTTGTCTTCAGAACCAGAGACAGTGTCGCCATTTTTAAAAAGTTTCTAAATTCGCTACGACCGGCCAGCAGAAGGGAATTAATAATACGTGACCGGTTAATGCAGGAAGAGAAATGTATTGCGTGAAAGAGACGATCAGATGGTTACTGTAATTTCAAACGTGAATATTGCGAAGCGTTGTCGTATTAAAACGGAAGCGAACCTTTTCTCGTTTCGGTGCATATTTCGATTAAGGCGTTTAAATTAGTTACTACGACGAAGTTTGGGTCCAAGGTGCAAAACATGCCGTTGGTTGTGCCATATTTGTAGTGGCAAGTTGCGTAAAAAAAGCATTTCAACAATTTATTTATAATGCGCGTTATTTACGAACAAAACAACTATCGGTAAAAAGGTTAATGACAATTAATTCAAGTTTGTTTTTGCTGTTAAAACCCTAAGTTTTCAAAGGTACATTGAAAATTTGAATTTATTAAGTTCTACTAAGTAAATTAAAGCAACCCTGATATATTCCTGAATCAATTGCGTCAACTATTTTTCGCAATAAATTTTCAAAAGTAACCCAATTTAATTGGTAATGCGGGAGGTCTATTTGTTTGCCTAATGCCACTATACAATTTCTCAAATTGCTGCTGCCTTCCAAAGGAGAAATCCAACTGACAATGTCAACATTCTTATTTATGGAGATATATTTTTTAAATTTTAACCAAAGATTCTTCCTGTAAATGCGAACATATCGCATATTTTAAACAGGCGCAGACTGCACAATGCTAAGTTCCTTATTTATAAGAATATTTATGCCTTAACTTATGTTCCTTTGTGCCTACACATAAACAGTCCCTTATATGATCTTTCGAGAAGGTCAATTCATGGAAAATGTGTTACTCGCCTTAACGCAAAAACCTTTTTAATTTTTTTTTTGGACCAATCCTCAAATTAGAGTCCGGAGACATCCATGGTGAAGAATATCCCTAACCATCCAACGGAGAAATTCCGACAGCTTTAAATGCCAGAAATACGGTCATACATCCAATCGTAAGAGCGAGCAAACATGCCAATGTGGAAAAACTCCATATGAAACAATGGCGGTTTCGGCAGGGGGAAAACGGGGCAATTACCCCCTTTAACAACCCCAAAACAGCTTTGTGAAAATGCAAAAAGCATTGTTTAAATGTTATAGACAACTTTATTTACAGTATTTCCATTACATTCCCCACTTTCTAAAAATGTGCACTACGTACCGAGTGACCCAATAAGACTGTTCCTCGGCCATATCTCGAGAACCGTTCGTCATTTATGACTTAGGGTTAAAAAAATTATTAGGTAAATCGGTCATGAAGAATCGCTGGAAAATATTTTCAAGTTCTAAAAATGACCAACAGAAGGCGTAACTGCCATCTTAAATTTTAAAACTGCATTTCGCATAATAAACTAAAAAAATTGTCTTCACATTTTTAAAGAGAACCAGTTTATCTATCATTTTCGTAAAAACAAAAACAAAGATGGTGTAACGCGTTCAATTGTTTTTGCAATAACTTGCTTTAACTTCTTAACCGTTTAACCGATTTTACTAAATTTGGTATGATTGAAAAGAGCATTCCTTGGGCAATGCAATGAGAATCAAAATATAGTTAATTTAGTTGAATCCTTCTCCGCCAGGGGGCTATCTTTGACACTATGACCCAAAATCTTAAAAAAATCAAAAAAATCAAGTGGAATGATACCCAAATAACATCCAAAGAGGCCAGTGAAAACCGTTTTTCAAAATCTCGTTCCTAACCTCAAATATTGGGAAAACTTGTATCTTAAATTTACTTTTTACGTATTTCCGGTACTTGTCGATGGCGCGAAAGAAAAGCACCGTACACTTTTAGGTAGGCCTTGGAAAATTAAACAAATGGAACACGATGCATCAAAATGATAACAGCTGTAATTTGTAAATTATTCTGCTTTGTTTACATTCAGAAAGTGCAGTTTTTTGAATTTCTAATCTTTTCTAAAATGCCGATTTCTAACCCAGAAGCATTTTGAATCCCTGCCGCATCTTCTATTTGCGTTATCCGAATCGACCACAAACCATCGCCGCCAGCATATTAAATGTTTCTTGGTTAGAAATCGACATTTTAGCAAAGATTACAAATTCAAAAAACTGCACTTTTTGGTTCTCTTTAAAAATGTGAAAAACAATTTTTTAGTTTATTATGCGAAATTTAAAGAAAATGCAATTTTAAAATTTAAGATGACAGTTGCGCCCTCTGGTGGTCATTTTTAGAACTTGAACATATTTTCCAGCGATTCTTCATAACCGATTTACCCAATAATTTTTTTACCCCTAAGTCATACGACGAACGGTTCCCGGGATATGGCCGAGGAACAGTCTTATTGGGTCACCTGGTACATTCTGTTTTCCGTAACCGTAAGTAATTAGGTATGGGGCGTCTTTGCGAGCGAAGTTAAAAGTTGTATATTGATAATGTGCCCCCCTTTAAACGTTTCTCTGGATTCGCCACTGTCCTGAAGGTATAGAAAGTAAGGTACCGATTACCCCAAGTTAATTGTATCCGAAATTAACGAAGAATTGAATGAATTGAAATTGTTATTGAGAGAATATGTGCACCCAATGAAAAATTGTGGTTGCTATTACGAAATATATACTCCCCCTCCTTGACTCAGTAGCCGTACGTCACTGAGCATAGTTTTAAACTATAGAGGGTGGTGGCGTAAGGGATTTCAATGTAAAATTCATATCATGCGATTATTGGCTCCCCAAATTATTTTAGAGTAAAAATGTATTAAGGTTTTTTGTAGAAAAAATTGTTAATGTCAATAACAATTGTCAATAAACCATATTATTTTTCAATTTTTTGCATAATAAAGACGGAAAATTGGAAAAATAAAACCCGCATCTTTTTCAATAATCTGTGATGCCATGGAATGTTCTAAAACAAAAAGATATCAAGTTATCAATTAGCAGCAGTTCGAAATGGATTTTATGATCGACTTAGGTTACTGTCTTGCAGTTAATGGTGACTTATTCGAACATTTATTGTAAATTGTTATATTAGGAAACCGTTTTTAGTAATTTGGTCTTTCTTTATGTTGAATTCGCTGTTTAAAATATATAAATACTTTTTGATAGAATTT